TGGAATCCATACACTGTGCTCTCATACAGGGTACAGAAAGCTCCTGGTCATTGCAGAGGTGTGGCAGGGATTGTTGGAACCATAGGCTGGTTAACAATACACAGCTTGAAGGTCTGGGGAAATGATTTTATATTAACACAAAGGTAGACGCATAGTGGAATAGGATATCAACTTTTTAAAAAATTATAAGGTTATAATAAGAGCTTGAAGTCATTTTATTGAAGACCATGTATCATTTGGTACAATTTGCTACACATTGTCCCCCAGGTTCCAGGGGGTGTAAGTTTACCTATTTCTGGTGTTGGGATGAGTTATGGGGAAAGGTCTGGGAAGCGCTAATGGTGTTCACTTCAGGCTATAGATTGGGCTTTCACAGACTGGTGACCATTCATTCATAATGGATAGGGTGCATGCTGTGCAAAGCACAAAGCAAGTCTGTGTGCTCAGCTGGTTTTTAGGATAAGGGTGTCACTTGCAGGCCGTTGGACATCATCCATGTAGCCAGCCAGCCATTCAACATCTACATCAGCTCATGACTGCTCTAAGTGCAGGGGAAATAATGGTGAACAGGTTAGGCAGCTTCTGATTTCAAGGAGCTCACCACATTTCTGTCAGAGAGAACAAATTGAAAGTACAGTAGTAGTATTAAACATACAGTAATATTTGAAGACTAGAAGTATTCTGGACAAGAGCATAGTGCTTTGGCTGCTGGGGATTTGCCATTTATCACTGATAACATTCTCTTTGGATTTGTTGTTGTTGTTAAATGCCATCGAGTTGGTTCCGACCCATAGTGACCCTGTATAGGGTTTCCTACAAGTGACTGGTGAGCTTGAACTGCCAACCTTAGTCCCTGTCATATTGGAAAACCACTTATTTCAATCCTTAGAATTAGTTTTTAAAATAAAGATGTATTTTCTCCCCATAGGATTCTGAATATTTTACATATTGGGAAAGAATGAGGTACAATTAAGGAATTTATTATGAAAGCTTTCTGGACACATATAAAAATATATATTATATAAATCATGAAGATCCACTTGATATTACAAAGCCATCGTTGTTGTTGTTAACTGTTGTTGGCTCGGTTCTGACTCATGGGAGCCCATGCATAGGGTTTTCGAGGAGTGGCAGATGGGTTTGAACCGTCGATCTTGTGGTTAGCAGGCCAGTGCTTATCCTACAGCACCAGGACTCCTCAAAGCCATTAAGGGTAGCCATTTTTGGTTCTATGTAGTTTTAATCTATTCTTGAGAATGAAATAATCATGAAATCGGTTAACTATTTTAGTAATTTGCACTTCACATGATATTCAGAATGAATGTGTTTGAACGTCTCTCCCCCAAATGATTGTGCCTGCCTTTCCTTCCTATCTTCTTCCTCCCGCCTTTTCTTCCTTTCAGCAAATATTCCAACAGTGAAATATATAGTAATAAACTCTATCTATATCCATATTTTTATAAACTATAAAACTAACAAAACTCATCAAAATCTATTAAAATACCCTGCAGGCACAAATTGACCAAACATTTTTTTTCAAATACCACTCTTTAAGAAAATGCTTATTTTGTTAAATGAGACACTCTTGCTCTGACATCCCTTTTGTAGTGGGTTTCATTATAATTCTCCTCTTGATGTTTTTGAAAATCACATTTCTTTTGAGAATCTTGGGAGAACCATTGCAATTAATATAATATGGTATAAATTCTTAAGGCCCCATAGGACATTGAAGATGAAATTTTGCAGCTCCGAAGCTAGTAGAAAATTCCCTGGTGTCAAGATGCAGCCACAGGAGGGTTCCTGTCTTCCTCAGAGCAGTAAACACCCTCTGGTGGTGCCAGGAAATCCCAGTCCTGTACTTGTATTTGAGGGATTACGCACACCCTTAACTCTTCTGAACTTTTCATCCCTCAGAAAAACTGAACTTGAGATCAAGCTGTAGGGAAGGCTTATCTTCAACACCAACGTCTGCAAATGGGTGAACTTCCAACCAGGGAATGCTAGTCACTCCTGTCTGTGCCAAGACCAAAGCAGAGCCAGTCAGCACAGCCTACAGTAAAGGTGTTCTGGTCCCCTCAAGGCATCATGGCCTTGTGAACACAGCATGAGAGAACGTGAAGAGGGTGTGAACGCATGAGAATACGGTTTACAGAAACCACGTTGTCATAATATTTGAGCTTTATAACATTGTCTTTTCCAGTAGGTTTATTATTTAAGTAAAAAGTGTTGCTTAGGAAGGCCCCTATACAGCACCGCAGTGATGGATGCTGGCTCTCCTAAGGAAACAGGGCATGTAGTTATTCACCACTAGGTTCCTGAAGACAAAAATATGTCATCATCACTTCCCACTAATGCAGTTTTCAAGATACTTCTGTCTCTTAACACAGGACTTTCTAGTCAGGGAATTCCATCTCCTCACTCCACACTTCTACAACTTGTGAGGGAGTGAGGCATTCGGCAGGTGTGACTATTCTTTGGAGGTGATAGTTCGCTTGCCTGGGCTGGTCTGCCTCAGGAGTAGCACATTAACCTCTTGGAAGAAAAAAACAACAACACTGAAGACCCTTGTGGCTTTTTAGTATTTAGAGCTACTCTTACTTTTATTTATAGCCTGGTTCTTCACATTTCAGAACAGTTCCAGTGGGCTGCAGTTTCTGAGATTACTCCAGAGTTGACCCAAATTGCTTTTAGTTTTGCTTCATATCAGAGAATCCACAGGAAACTCAATTGATGAATCAAAAGATAATGCTTTGAAGATATTTTTTTTTTTCCCCTTAGAGCTTCTCTGTTTAAAACAGGGAATATATATATATATTTTTTTTTCAAATTTCTTGAATGACTGAGGCAAAATCATATACAAGTATCCTCCAAAGAATATGTACAAATTATTCAACCTAGCAGGATGTAAGGATTAAAAACAAAATTATCTTAACATCTAGAATGTGTTAACAAATTGTCCAATAATATCACAATTATCATATGGATTAAGATCTTAAAAATTTTATCAATTAGTACCAAAAACAAGGTAACATTTCAGTTGGCCAGAAAATCATTTGTTTCAACTTTAAAAAATGTTGGCAACACTTTCTAAACATAAAAGTTATTCCTGCAAGAAAATTGCATGATTACATATGACGTCAGTGATCTTAGGATCTCAGAGCTGTGGTAAACCCAACAGTGAATCCTGCTCAACCCCCTTATTTCCACCAAAGAGAATATGAAAGAAACAAAAAGACTAGAGCATCTGCTTAGGGTCCCACAGCTGAATGCTATGAGCCAGCAAGTTGACTCCGGCTCATAGCAACCCTAAAGGGCAGAGTAGAACTGCTCCATAGGCTTTCATAGGCTGGGCTGTAATTTTTACAAGAACACACCAGGTCATTTCACCCTCCAAGTGGTTGGAAGGTTCGAACAGCCAACCTTCTGAGTAGGAGATGAGTACTTAACCATTGCACCACCAGGTCTCCTTGGGGTGGTCACTAAGAAATATAAACACTGTCTTTAGGATGGGAAAGATTTTTCTGGAAATCATCTCTTTCTCACACAAGTGAGACACAGCAAATTCCAGTTAGAGACAGTTTCTGATAAATTACAGTCAGAAGATATGGCTCATCTTTCTTTAGCAATCAATCTTCTGCATTAGCCTAACCGATCTAGAGAAAGAAGATAAAAAGCAAACAAACCCACAAACTACCACTCCGGCTGCTCTGAATGGTTCTTTCACTTAGAAATCACCTGTATTCTGACTAAATTCACCAGGTGACGCTCTGCCATCTGATATGTGACAGATAGGTCACAGAACCCCTAGACTACCTTCTGTGATTTAAATGAATGAACCAAAAAAAAAAAAAAAATTTCAAATGTAAAATGCTCTTTTTAATGATTAAGTTAAGAAAGTTAAACAATTTAAAAATGTAAACTCACAAATCATAACCAAAAAAAAAAAAAAAAGGAGGAAGAAGACTTCAGCGTTGATACTCAGTATTAAAACCTCAACAGAAAGAGGATTTTGATTTGTTGCTGTTAAACAGATGTAATTCAAGGTTGGTACAAACAGCCAACTACAAATGTTTAATCCTCTGTTGTATGCATCCCTATGAAATGTGAAAGAATGCAGTTATTCCACTGGAGAGCTCTTGGACACAGAAAGTGTTTCATTAGCAGTACAGGGCATTTAAAACACTTATTTTACAAGGAGAATGTAGAACCCTCCCACCCACACCCACCTTCCCCATAAATTTTAGTTGCATGAAAAAGTTTAGCAGGTTGCCATGACTACAATGCTATGGGTTTTAGACCATTTAAATGTAGTTACAATGTTTATTAAATTTAAAACCAAAAAAGTTGGACACATTTTAGCATTCATATTTTTATACAAGAAGTTTGTGTGGGATCCATCTTGCAGTTCCCAGGGTAGTATTGCCCCCTTGCTTGCTTAAATTGTCTCACTTTTAAGTTTTGAGAACAAATCAGTTAACTCAAATACAGGAATCAGAACTTGTGAATCCAACTTGGGGGTCCTGAAAAGGATTAAAGTTACACACTCCTGTGTAGGGTACAGTCATGAATCAAAAAGCTGCAATCAAATTAAACAAAAAAATGCATGCTTTGTTGCTGTTTAGTGCCATTGAGTCGGTTCCAACTCACGGCAACCTTGGATTGGGTTTACGACAGAGAGAGAAGTGGCTGGTGAATTTGAACCACTGACCTTGCAGTTCAAACTGACCTTTCAGTCCAGTGCATTATCCCACAGCGCCACATCAGGACTCCAATCATGCTTAGCAATTCCAAATATGAGACCATTGGTTTTCAGAAGAACACCAGTGCTTCTATGCTTATTTTGCAGTGAAATCCTTCCTCAGGGTCCCACAGTTTGGGGCCCAGGCCGGCCTCAGTTAGCACCCAGATGGTGTATGTACAAGGGACGTATACATTATATATATATATATATATTCATATGTATATAAAAAAAAGCAAAAGCAAACACCTGTCCTGATTGATTTTTGTTAAAACATGAAAAAAAATTTTATTGTTTTAGACAAAGAGGCCACTTTTGGAAAATAATACTTTTTTTTTTAGTTGAATCAGGTGAAGACAGAGTTAAAATCACATAGGATTTGCATTTTTAAAAAAGGAAAGCACTAGGGTTGTTGGCACTGGAGTTAACTATTTACACTGAACAGAGGTTTGGCCTTTTACATAACATCGATCGATACAATGCATTTTCCAAAGTCTGAGAAATAACAAGGTTCTGTCTCGTATGCTTCACAGAGGAGGTTCGGATTTGGGGGACAAGTGTCATTAATGAGGGCTGTGGAAGTTCGTCAGCTTCAGAGTCACATGCAATCTGATCCTGGACGGTTCTCGCCGCTCCCTTGCTCCCTCGCTCGGGAGCAGCTGGCTACGGAATTGAAAGCTAATGGGAAGGGGGCGGGGCAGCCTCTTGCACAAGGCTCTCTGCAGACCCAGGTCTCACAGGTTTTCACCAGGCTGGTACTGGGGCTCTGTCGCAGTAAAGTAGTCTTCCAGGAAGCCTTGCAAGTACTCAAAAGTGGGGCGCTCTTCGGGGTCCTTTTTCCAGCAGTGGATCATGAGCTCATGTAGCGAGATGGGGCAGTCCTGGGGACAGGGCATCCGGTAGCCGCGTTCCACCTGCTCCAACACCTCGCGGTTGTTCATGCCTGCAAAGACAGGGTCAGTGAGAACTGGCAGCCAGCCTAGGGCCACCCTGACCAGCCCGCCGGCCCAGAGTTCCCCTCACCTTGGAGCCTGCAGATGCCTAAAACATGCTGAAGGCCCTCACCTCACCCAGAGACTTGAATGGGACCCTAAACCACTGAGAAATGAAAAGGAACACAACACTGATGCAAACGTGCAAAAATGTGCAGGATGCATCTCAACAGCATTAAAAGTGAAAGAAGCCAGACACAAAAGGCAACATACGGTATGCTTTCATTTATATGAAATTCTAGGAAAGGCGAAAGGAAAACTACAGTGATAGAAAGCAGATCAGTAGTTGCCAACAGCTGGGAAGGCAATTGGTGGCCAGCAAAAGGGCAGGGCGAGAGAACTTTGAGGGGTGATGGAAGTGTTTTCTATCAGGAGTAGGCAGATTTTTCTTAAAAGGGCCAGATAGTAAGTAACTATTTCGGGTTTTGTAGATCACATATGGTCTCTGCCTTTAAAAATGTACAAAGCAAAAGCGGGCCCTGGGTGCTAGCTTTGCCCCACAAGCTATATTATAGTCTGCCCACCCTGAACTAGGTCATAAATGTGGTGGTGGGGCTACTTATGTTTATTAAAACTCCTTAAACTGGTGAATTTTTCACTTGAATAAAATCGGTGATTTTTATTATATGTAAATTATCCACTAATTAAGCTGACAAAAATGTATATGAATAAAGCGTATACACACACACACCAAAAAAAAAAAAAAAAAAAACCAAGACAAAACCTTAACCCAACAAAAAACACATGGAATGAATGATTCAATGTGCTGTCCCTTGCTTATAGTATGGGTGAGTTCCGTGTGTGAATTTCATAAATGAGTTTTCCTCACATCTGGGCAAGCTCTTGGTGCCCCTTTGTCCAGGATCTGCTACCATATCACCAAGTCTGGGCACAGTTCAGCCCAGTGACCTTGCAGTGACCTGAGATTCAGTGACTTTGATGAGGAGACACACTGTCTCTGGTGCCTGTGTTTACTGATGGCCTCTACCAGGCAATCTGTCATTTGAGACCTTCCTGACCCACTGGATGAATGGCCTCACTTTGAAATCTCAGACTGGGCAACATGAACAGAAGACATCTGGGGAGTCTGCTAGTCCTTTTGAGAACGTCTGCATATTGGCCTTCTCGTCAATACAGCAACACCACACTGACTGAGGTGAATGGCCTGCCCCAAACCCTGGCAGGCCTAAGTGTCTAGTTTTTCTTCCCCTTCTGCCCACATCATGCTCTGCCAGCTCCCCCGCACGTCCGCCTATGTTGTGGCTGCTCTCTGGCCCTAAACCTGTAGTCTGGAACCCTCCCTAACTACTTACCTGGTAATTCACAAAAGCAAGAACCTGATTTCAAGTCCTATAAAAAACCTGACTTTCTTTTCCTCTCAGGATGTAACCAGCAGGCAAACACAGTATCCATTGTTGTTAGCTGTTGTGAAACTGGTAACTCATGGTGGACCTATCCACAGCAGACGGGATGCATCCTGGTGCTCAAACATTCCCATGATAGGTTGCAGACTGGACCCACTGTGGTCCACAGGGTTTTCACTGGGTGATTTTCTGAAGTTGATTGCCAGCACTTTCTATCTATTCCACTTGAGTCTAAAAGCTCTGCAGAAACCTGTTCAGCATCACGAGGCTCTGTCCACAGATGGGTGGTGGTGATGGATTAGGTGCACTGGTCAGGAATTAAACTTAGGTCTCCCCCAAGGGAGGGGGGAACTCTACCTTGGAACTACTACTGCCTGCTGCTGTTGTTGCGATGTGTGCAGTCAAGCTGGTTCTGACACACAGCGATCCTGCATAGAGTTTCTGAGGAGCTGCTGGTGGGTTTGAACTGCTGACATAGTGATTCACAGTCCAGTGCTGATCCTACAGCTACTCATCACCACTGCCCATAGCTCCCTTTAATTCTAGACAAAGTAGAACCCTGTAAACTCGGCCAGGGCATCCAGGCACACCCTGTCCACTGCAGTATAGGACACTTCTGTCAGGTCTCTGCTTCTTGTTACTTTTGGAGCTGGGTGTATCCTGGTCCCTTCTGGCTGTAACATCATGTCCCTCCCTGTCAGTCACATACTTGTCCACACCCTTTCAGACTGCTTCTTATTCTCTGTCACTACGATTTCTTGAGATAAACATCCATAGATTATTTCTGCTATGTTTAAGTAGGCCCTTCACTTTAATTATCTGAAAATAGCCTCAGTCGCCCCTTATTTTTGAGGCTGGGTGAATGGGTGGGGGTCCCCTGCCTCCGTGCATTACAGGGCATCTTTCCAGCTGGGTGTCAGAAGTGACACTGCTACTTAGCTTATATCGTCTGTAAAATGCGCTTTGAAAACTCTGAAGCTGGACAGGGAGCGGGAAGCAGGAGGCAGGGCCTGGAGCTGCTGCAGAAGAGAAGGCAGACTTGCCAGTCAGTTCCATCTTTCCCTACCCTCAGTCCCCAAATCCAACAAGCTCTGGAAACCAGAAATGTCTGAGACACACTCAGCAGTAAAACTGATCCAAACTGATGTCATGTGGTTCCAAATCGTGACCGGAACTGATGTGAGGCTAGTGACTGTTTTTGTTTATTCATACTTGCACGCACTGCTGCAGAAGGATCTGTGTGTGTGAACACAGAGATCTGCTCCAGACTTTATTGGCATGGTACGTAACATATAGTATATGCTCTACATTGACTTCAAGAAAAAAGAAAAATGTCTGATTCTGAAGGGCATCTGGCCCCATGGGTCTTGGCTGAGAAGTGCTGGCATAAGTGATTGTAGCCACTACATGCCAACCCACTCAGAAAGGTTAGGAAGACAGTTAAATCATCTGTTAGGATTGGGCTTTTCCAGTGTGTTACTCAGCCACATTTTAGTACAATCATTGTTTCACTATGGTTTGGAAATGGCTCAGTTTGAGCCTGCAGAAGTATCCCTTGTCACTCACTGTCCCTGCCAGGAGTCTGTAAGGACCAAGCAAAGATGAATGCAAGGTCTGAACCTCAGGAGGTAGGACAGTTGGCTACAAGCCCCGGAAACCACATCTTAAGGCTTTATTCTGGCTCCGAGACTCTGTCCCAAATGATGGTGTTGTTAAGTGCTGTTGAGCCCATTCCAACGCATAGCGACCTTGTATAGGGTTTCTGAGGAGCAGCCGGTGGGTCTGAACCATCAGCTAACCACTGTTTAACAGTCCACTGCTTATCTTACAGCGCCACACCACGACTCAAAATGGTACTACTGAGTTTAATTAAGCATTTTCTTACTGCTCTATGGAACTTATTTCAGTAAATGTTTAATTTCATTAAAAACCAAACTACTCAAAAGAAAAGAGTTCACTTCACTTCACAAAACAACCTCTTAATTCAATCTCCACCAATGGAAACTTTAATCAGCCACTTGGGTCAAGCCTGTTTTTTCCAGTACTCTTCTCAAGCTTTGAACATAGCAGATACGACATTCGGAAACTTGAACCACAACACATAGCATCACCTGAAGCAGCACCTTCCTGGGCAGCTGCAGGCAGGGGACGCAGCGTGGCTGACCTACCCTTATAGTGCCCCAGCATGCTTCTGCTCTCTCTCTCCCCACCTTTCCTGCCTGCACCTCTCTTCCCCACACCTCCTCTTCTTTCTCTTCTCAAGCCTTCTTCTCCCCAGACATCTCAGAGCACAGGGAACATCTGTAACAAATGCCAGGCACTGGGCCAACTAGAAACATATTCATGGCAGCTTTGCCAGAAAAGTGGGAGCAAGGCAATTGCTAAGGATTGAATTGTCTCCCTCAAAAAAAAAAAAAAAAAAGGTAAGAGGACGTCCTAATCCTTGATTTTTGTGAATGTGACTTTGTTTGGAAAGAGTTTTGAGGATGTTATCAGTTGACCTGAGGTCATACTGGAATAGGATGGGTCCTAATCCAATCTGAATGATGCCCTTATTAAAGAGACCAGCACAGCTGGAGGATGGTCATGTGACCATGGAGTCATTCTGTAGCTGTAAGCCCAAGACTGTCTGGGGCCACAGAAGGAAGTAGAGACCAGAAAGGATCATTCCCTGGAGACTTTGCCGAGAGCTTGGCCCTGCTGACACCCTGAACGTGAACTTCCAGACTTTAGAAGTGTGAGACAATAGGTTTTTATTCTTACAGGCCACCCAAATTCTGATACTCTACTTTGGCAGCACCAGGAAACTAATTCAGCAGTGTATCTGACTGCCACCGACAATATGAAGTTTACTGAACAAGCTCTCTTCCAGCCATCCCTAAGCCAGGTGCCATGGGCTGACAGGGGGACCTGCCCATTCACAACTTCCCTCTCCAACACTGATACAGAGTCAACGTATGCCCACTCAGCAAGGCTGAGGCGAGTTTTAATTTTATAAACAAGAACAGCATTGTATGGATGATGGTTAACATTTAAAGAAGTATTTTCAGCTGTGAGAACTTTGAAAACCCATACTTACTTCAAGGATTTCTTTTTCAGCAAAATGGGTTTTACTCTCCACTGTGCTATAAAGATGAGTCTATTTTGTTTTGTTTACATAGTCTCATATTTTCATTACAAAGAAAACGGCTACTTTCTCTCCTTTGGACCACTCTTTTCCCAGCTGCTGGCTCTGTCTGACACCTGGGAGCTGAGGACAGGGAATCTATAGGAGCTTGAGTACTAGGGATGTCACGGGAGAATACCGAGGGCCCTGGGGACTCTCATCCTGTTCTTCCAGTGGAGGAAGATGGCAGGCAGGGAGAATGCCTGGGGATGTTTTTCTTCTTTAGTGATGAGAAAGCCAAAGCAGCAGCTTTAAGAGGACACACGGGCACATTTTAGGGAAGCAGGACTTTGACAGTTTAGGCCTCCAGATGTCCAACAGAAGGGCTGGTCCCCAGCACATTCACAGAGGGGGTCTTCCTGGTCTCCGTGTCAGGGCAGAGGTTCAGGGCCAGGCAAGCCTGTTCACCGCAACTCTTTCT